TCAAGATAAAAATAAAAATAAAAAAATATAACTTTTAAGCGAAACCTGCTACAAATTATACATAATCAGAATCCATTTATCAAATTCAACAAAAAAAATAAATCCCGTATTAAATTTAACCGAAATTGAAACAGACAATTTGAAGGAGAAGGATGGTCATGGTCCCCGTTGGGATTAACAACGTCGTACTTTTTGACGGTCATGGAGTTGCTTTTTATGTCTTCCGCTACAATTTTTTAATAACTAGACAATATTTTAATTTTATAAAAGATGTAATATGTATATATTATCAAACTTTTTTTATTACATTTTTATTTTCAAATTATATAAATTGTTCCTGATTATATTTTCTCTTCAAAATTTTCTTTAAAATAGAATAAAAAACTCGTTTGCCCATTATATTTTCGAGCTCCTCTTTAATAGGGATTAAAATCAAATTTTTAGAAGATTTTAATAGAAGTTGATGAAATGTGTGATTGAAAAGTTATAAGTCTCACGAAATGTGTAGTTAATATTAATTATTGATTTTTACTTAAATTAAAATCTCTATCTTAATTTTCATCAAATAGGGGATAAATAAGCAAAACAAAAAATAATTTAAAAACACGATAATAGTATTCTTGGATGATAATATGACATTATGATTAAGAACAAGATTTTCTGATTAATAAAATGTTAAAAATAAAAATGTATAGAAGAAAAGAGTTACGAATATAAATATAATAATGAATAAAGATTAATGATATGTAATGTAACGTAATTAAAATATGGCGTGAACATAAATCCTTAGCCCATGTTTGAAACATATTATTTAAAAACTCATTTTTTTTCTAAAATTCATATTCAATCACACATTCTCCTAATAAAACCTCTATTTGGTAGTAGTTAAAAAGAATTTTTTGGGGACACTGAATTTTGGAATATTGATTTTTTAGAGAATGATTTACATGCAAAAATATCTTATCTTGTGAATGTATGGTTGAAAAACGAGTTTGAGAAAAAGGAATTTTGTAAAAATTGATGACAAACAGGGGTAAAATAATTTACACGTAAATCCAAAATTTTTTTGTACTTTCTTACCACACAATCTCAATAAAATTACCATTGCAAAATCCATTTTTGTGTGAAAAATGGGGATTAAACACGGGCTTAATTTAAAAGAGATTTCCTTATTCAGTTCTTTTATGGTTCAGGATCTGGAGATTATTGCTGCTGAAATTTTGGGTTAGCAAAGGTTCTAAATTCTTATTATTTTTAGAATCTATTTAAATGTTTTAAGTGAAATTTATTCATATTTTTTTGAAAAATAAAAGAATGTTATTTGAAGTTTCTTTTTTATTTTTGTTATTTTAAAGAGAATGATAATTCTGTCATTTAATAATCAAAATAGAGGGAAGGACAAATTTTGTTATATATAATTGAAAGAGTGGGAGTAAATTATGATAAATTTCTGGTTATGCTAGATATATATCATCATTCGCATATTTATTTATTTACAGATGATCTGGCAAGGTTTAATCGGGTCGAAACCTCATCAATCAAATTTTAAAAAAAAATCTGCTTTCTTTTTGACATCTTATCAATTTATAAAAGATTATATAAATGGTGATGTATAACAAATATTTCCAAAACAAAAATTGTTAGTAGATTTGTTACATTTAGGGCATGTTTGGGCCTCATTATTTGTGTAGAATGTATTTTGGATTAGTAGACTGGTTGAGAAAGCGTGGTTAAAAAATAAGAAAAAGTTTTGGATTTATCTGTAATATTATTTTATTGAAGAATGTATGGTTAAAAGAATAGAGAGAAAAATATATTTTGAAAAAAAATGGAAATCAAACAATGGCTCAACAAAAGTTGGGAATGAAATTAATGCAAATTTTCCTATATATTATTGTTGACCACGAAAAATGTTGCCAACAGATGCCGGGCCCACTCGTGCACACGCGAGCTTGATCAACCACGCTAATGCCGATCAACGGTCAAGATGGCTCTAGAGAAAGAGAGTGGGAGTGGCTCAAAGGCACGAGACGTTTTCGTTCAGGCTACCGGCAAAGATTATGTAATACGATTGTATGAGAAACC